GACGGGCACTAAATTGAGACGGCCTTCTAATGTGTCCTGTTTCTCACGCTCCGCAATTGCATTCTCGCCCTCTTCAATGGTCATCCAGACGAATGACCCATCCACTTGTGGTACATACCAGCCATTCTCGCCATTCTCACGGCCCTCTTCTACAGGAAAAGCCGAAATAGCAGCTGCGAAATAAAAAAGGAACCGGCGTGAATATATTTAAAGTAAACTCAGCTTTTTCGCAGTTGACAAATAACTACCTGCTAATAAAACAATTGCCAAAATATGCAAGACCTTCATTTCTCCAGATGTGTTAAAGAATAACTGAACACAATAGATGTGCGAGTCTTTATATAGTCAGCATTATCTACTGAGAGATGGCAGATACTTTGTCTTAAAAAAATCGCACTTTAATTATTTCATGCCGCGGTAGAGATAAATGGTCATGGTTTCAATTATGGATTTGCAAAATGTTTGCCACCAACGAACCAGTCGCAAAAGCCACAAAAAATAATATTGCTGGCAATTGTATGCTTAATAATTTCATTAGATCTTGATAATAGAATATTTCGATTAATTGTTTAGTAGAAATCCCTTATCAATTATTTTCTGTCCACGTTTATTTTTTTGATTCGATATTGCAAACACATACAGTAAGTGTGTACTTCTTTGATAATAGTTAAAAAATGCTATAGCGGTTTAGATAATTGCCTTTTCTAGTGATGATGCCGACGAGATTAAAACTGATATTGCAACCGGATGGACCTTTAATAATTTGAATATTAAAAAAGAGAAAAGTTGAAATTGACAAATGATAAAAAATCGAACCATAAGGAATTTTAAGTTTCTACAATATATTGTGTATTCCTCTGCGAATGGTAGTCAGCGTGTCGTGGTACAGGGACTCAGCCGCAAGGCATACTCGAGACGTTCGGCAACTGGCTGCGGGAGTTCTCCCCAAAGCTGAAAGGTTGGAAGGGTCCTGTCCTCTGCATGAAAAGGGCAGCAGACTTGCCAACCATGCAGAGCATGACAATATTCCTCCCCCGATGTGGTGACAAGCCATACGAGTTTGCTCTAGGTCTGGTAAAGAACCAGAACCGGGGCCTCAGCATCTCAGCCTGGCGCGTTGTCCGCAGCAAGATGGAGGGAATAGGCGGCATGAAAGGATGGAGACTGTACTTGTACATGGACGACGAATCGTGCAAGTGCGTACGGGCAGCGAGCTTCCGCCTGTATTACAGGTTTAGCACGGTGGTCATGTGGCCTCATAAGCCCGCAGCCACTGGGAGCAAGGAAGCAAAGAAGGCTGCAACAAGGCAGGAGTACCGGAAAACAGGCAGCGACGCGGCGGCCTCGGAGGTTGAAGCAGTGCAGATGGATGAGGTGGCGAATCAACTCAGCGGAAGCAGGGCTGAGCAGGCAATGCCAGTGGTGACCCCAGACGCCCCTGTTGATAGTTCCGGCGGTCAGAGAGCAGGGCTTCCCTCAACGCAGGCACTCCTGGAAGGGCTAGGAGACCCACTGGACGGCAGTGCGGTTGATGGCGGGGATGAGGATCTACCCCTTCCATTCTTCCGAACTATTACTATAATGGCCGTCAACATGGAAGTCGCCCAGGTGAACCTGCATCACTCAGGGGCAGCTTCAGTTGCCATAAGGAGCAGGTTCACGGCGGAGAAACTGGGCATACTGCTGATCCAAGAGCCTTGGGTCTATAAAGAAGAGGTTAAAGGACTCAAGACGGAGTTAAACAAGATAATCTGGGATCTCTCTAGCAAGAGACCTAGAACTTGCATAGTGGTTAGGAATAACGTTGAATTTTTCTGCATTTCAGAGTTCCTGAAGCAGGATCTGGCGGCGGTGCAAGCTAGGAGCCTCGAAGGCAAGGACTTTGTCCTAGCTTCGGCCTACTTCCCAGGGGAGGCAAAGCTGGTGGAACACTGCAGGTTGCACCGGCTTTCCCTCATCATTGGCTGTGACGCGAAAGCCCACCAGTCTTTTTTGGAGTACTTAGTATACCATAAGCAGAAGAGAGGTGTTGGACCTCACCTTAGGCAATGAGCCTGCAAGCGGACTGGTAGATGGCATCTTTCCAGCGCTGCGACGACAGGAGAGCAGCTTTTGCTGCCTCACCTGTTTCGGCTGCTGAGAGAGAGCCTCGCAATGGCTTACATCTCCGAAACATGGAGAACAGCAAAGGTGATCTTCATACCCAAAGTAGGAAGAAAGGATTACTCATTGGCGAAATCTTTCAGGCTAATCAGTCTAACGTCCTTCCTACTAAAAACCATGGAGAAGATCGTTGACCAGGAAATAAGGACGAAAGCGCTGAAGAGATCACCCTTGCATGCGGCTCAGCATGCCTACAGAGCGGGCAGATCTACCAGCACTGCTCTGTACCAGTTAACCTCCGAGATAGAGAATTCACTGGAAAATGGAGAGGTGATGCTTTGCGTTTTCTTGGATATCGAAGGTTCCTTTGATAACACGTCTCATAGAAGCGTAGCCAGGCCACTGGAGAAAAGAAATGTGGCAGCACCGGTGCGCAGATGTATAGAGGCCGTACTGCGCACCAGAGTGGCTGAAACCACAGTAGGTGACAAAAGAATTCGTCTCGGCACAACAAGAGCTGGCGGGCAAGTCCTGGGGCTGTAAACCAAGGATTGTTAGGTGGTTGTACACCATGATAGTGCTACCAATAATCACGTATAAGGCGGGGTGGCCTGGGCTTCAATAGCGTCGCAGACTTCGGTAAAGACCAAGCTATCGAATCTGTAGCGACTGGCCTGTGTCTGCATGACGGGAGCAATATGCACCTGTCCAACGGCAGCACTGGAGGTTCTGTTAGAGCTTACTCCGCTTCATCTGGTTATAGGTCAGGTAGCCAAGCACACCCTCCGGCAAATAACGGCAGAGGGGTGTGGCAAAGGCGAGGTAATTTCGTCCCAGAGGACGAAAAGATAAGTGGCAATATACCAATAGCTCTCCTCCCGAAGGACAGTACTACCAAAATAGTCAACTTCGAGAAAAAGTTCAACGTTAATCTCGACAGCAAGGATGAGTAGAATGACTCCAATCTCGAATTGCTGTTAAAGGACAGCACGTTGAGGTGGTACACCGATTGCTCAAAGATGTCGAAGGGAATCGGTGCGTGATCGTCTCTATACCCATGGGAGTGTTCCCGAGCACCTTCCAGGCAGAAGTGTTTGCCATACATCGGTGTACAGAAATAAATCTCTATCGCAACTATCGTAATGAGCGAATAGCCATTCTCAGCGATAGTGAAGCGGCACTGAAAGCGATCTCCTCCTACGAGATCAAATCGCTACTAGTGCAGGGAAAGGCTGAATAGCCTTGCGGAACGAAACAAGGTACACCTAATCTGGGTGCCTGGCCACAAAGGGATAGCCGGCAATGAACTGGCTTACGAGCTCGCTCGCTCTGCATCCTCCACCAAGATGGTAGGAGCCGAACCCTTTGCTGGGGTAGGTGCCCATACCATAAAGGAGCTACTCCGCAAGGAAGAAGGAGTAGGCATACCAAGTTGCTAATTGGAAGATACAACCTAGGTAGGTTCAAAGTTGTAATTCGTATAGACCTAAGACCGAAGTGCATTCCTCATCATTAATCTAACATCTAATCTATATTGTGTATTTGTATTTTTCTGTTACAGAAAGTTCCTAATATAATACATAAGAGCGAATTAGGAAAAGTACATTAATTCTCTTGAAAATAACGCCAGAAAGGTCAAATGGAACAGTGAAGAGAAAAAGCGAGCTCTGTGTTAGAGTTAATTAAAAAGTTGGAGAAAGAGCTTGACCGTAGAGGTTTCTTTCTATTTGCAGTGCAATAAAATTTAATTTGGTTAGGACACAAGCGCTTTATTGACGTGGAGATAGCTGAAGGCGTTTGTTTCACAAGTACAACTTACCGCCGTAGAAATACGAAAACGAAATATTAGGAGGTAGGAACTAGCTTTTGGTGATTTCCAGAATTCGGCGTCATTTCTACAGCAATGAAGCTTAATAATTTATTAAATGGAAAAAAAAATTAGGAGGTTTATAACGGTCTGTTTAGTTTTAAGCATATTTATAGAAGTAATCGGCGCGTGAATACAAAAAACCTTTCGCTGCTTTTCGATCGTTAAACTTGTCATCATTTATCTCCTCAATTCATTCTCATTTCAGCTCATTTTATCAAACATTGGTGCGTATCACCAAAAGTGTCAAGCAGGATAAAATAAAGAAGCGGACAAATAACAAAAAATTCTCGATACGCAAAACTGCTAGTATTTTGAGTCGACTGCCATTTTTTTATGGCACGCATTCTTTGCTGCGCGTATTCTTTTTCTGGCACATGCATGGCGCCTGAACGTATGCTAATATGTGTTGCGCTCTTCTTTACCGCTTTTATCGCCACTTCAAATAAATTTTACGCACCACAGAACTCACCGCCAGCAGCTATGGATCAACAGAAATTTACAATTTACAAATAATCTAATTTATTTCACTCAACTGTTGTTTTTCCTACACACTTCCGCATGCTTGCAATGAATTTAATGACCAGAATACTCGAAAAACGTTTTTTTGCGCTTCTTATATTGCTCTAATTCAAGACATCGTTTTCTGGTAGTTGCTTCATATGCATACTTATTTCTTTCTTCTACCCCATTTGCCGTTATTCGGTGGGGATTATTCAAACAAATTCACGCAATCAATTACAAAGAAGTCAAGTAATATATCTACATATATAAAAAAAAAGAAAGTTGCTAGTTACGCCATTTATAATTCAAGAACGGCTCAACCGATTTGGCTAAAAAAAATTATAATTTCAAAATTCATGTTTGTAGGAATCATTTGAATATATGCGTACAATTTTAAAAAGATTCTGATGTCATTTTTTGTCTTTCCACGCATGAGAATCGGTTCATCATGTGCAGTCCACTAGAATAACTGTCGATTGGACTCTAGTGGCAAATGATGGAGCTATGTTTCTATCACCGACGAAAAAATTCGGCTTTAATCCGATTAGAGAGCACTCAAACAATTCTCAGAATCAGTTATTCGTTGTTTTTGTTGGATTATGAAATTGCGAGTGACCCCCTTTGCACAGAGGATAATTTTCCGCGGTGCTATTTCGCCTGTTTCCAACTTAGCAAATATATTTTTAACGATGGATTTCCCTGAATCAACCAATCGCGCTTGGTGACTTTAACGCCAGGGTGGGCAAAGAAGGTATCTTTGGCAACATCCCCAAATGGGTTGAGGCTAATCGACTTCGCCGGGGCCCCAAAGATGGTTATCTGTAGCACTAGATTTCAGCATAAGAAGATTCATCAAGCTA